CCGGAGTGATTGAAGGCGGGGGAGGGGCTGCGTGGTGATATGGCTGTTGTGGTGTTGCTTGCACCGGATATCCTCCCTGCTGCGTATGAGGCGCAAAGCCGTTGCCTGGTTGCGATTGCTGTGACCAGTTCTGCTGCTGCTGCTGTTGTTCGTGTCGTTGGACCGCCGCTGCGAAGCCGTATGGTTTGGGTGGAGGCGGGGGTGGTTGCTCTTGTTGCTGAGGAGGATATGATTGATGCTGCGCCCCCGGCATGGTGCCATACGTGCCCGGATTATATCCTGCGGCTACCTGCTGTTGCGATTGATTCCATGGATTCGACGTGTGTGTCGGCGTGGGCGCAGCCCATTGACCGTGGGCTGGGGGAGCGGACGTTTGGTATCCCTGGGGTGCTTTACCATCGTGTCAGCGCCTCGCTCTGCAATCGTGTGCTATCATGAATCAACATACCTCCATATCCAGGCGGCGGTGGCGGGACTGGTGGAGGAGCGCCCTGCTGGCCTGTGATGCCCGTCGTGCTGCCTGGCCGCTGGTATCCTGGTGCTTGCCCGTAGTTCTGCATCGTGTGTTTTTTGTCGCGTTACCAGCCAATATATGTGTCGCAGGAGACGGCGGATCGTGTTCTCCGGGAGTGTGGGCTCGGGATTCCAGCTGAAGTGCCTGTGTGTATTAATAGGCTCTCCACGAGTGTGACAAGCACATGGACGGCACGCGCTGGAATGCGATCACGGAGGCAATTGCGGTGTATCGTATGACATTGATCAAGGTGTTAAGTACAAAAAGGCGATACTGAGATACATCAAACTGGGCCTCGTCTCCCCAGCGTGAGGCTGAAAGCTGAAGTCCAAGTGTGCAGGAAGTGGAATGGTGTCACAGCCACGCGATGATCTGCACGCCGCGGTTCGTCCCCGCCCGGGCTTCGCCTTGCCTCATGTGACATGGTTCCTTCATAGCGATCACCGCCATTCAAGTCCTGCTCTTCCGTCTTTGATCCGCGATATACGACAGAACATACTCCACGTCCATCGCGATCGCCTCCAATGTTTCCTTCTGCTGGATACCCTTTGGCGCTTTTTTCGTCATGCCCCCCGCCGTACTCAACGTCATCTGCGCCATGTTAACAACATTAAACTTGAATGCGAAATCTGAATCTTACCATATCCCAACGATGACGGTCGCTATCGGGCGACTCTGCTTGCTGCGCAGCATCCTCATCACCACGTGTTCTCGATGCGCCAATTAGCCTCTCCAACGAGACGTAGGTTCCTTCTGTCAACTTCTTCCCCTGACGCTGCTTCTGGTTTGCGTCAGGTGTTGCGCCTGAACCTGTGTCCGAAGGAAACCGGTAGATTTGCGAAGATCCTTTCGTTTCCATTCGGCTCCTCTCTTGCATGATCTTGACATCGCCAAATGATGCATAATCGATTGGAAGCTGAACAGTAAAGGACGACGCGAGCTCGGAGAGACTTTCTCCATCGTACTTGTTCATGGTGACTACTAACGCATGAAAGACGCGATCTTGTAGTAGACTCAGCCCAGCAACCTTGGGCATCATATGGAACATTTGTGATACTAAGATGTGTCAGCAACGGTGCAGACTGTCATGTAACTTGCGCAAGAGGGCGCTCACTGAACATTTCCACGCTATGCACCTCCTTGTGGTGATTCACAGCTCTCAACGCTTCTTCAGGATCCCATCTCAATAGCTCAACCGCATCGAAAACACTCGGGGTATATGCAGCTTCGTTACGGCTGTGATCTTTCGCCAAAAGATCTCCCAATTCTGAGAACTTGACATGAGCGTTGCTGTGGGTAGAGGTTCTAGCCATCCAACTGGCTTGGTTCAAGTCTTTGATGCGCTTCTCGACAGCGACTGGAACGGGAATCATATCGCTGCTCCCTGTAGCATTCAGTGGCGGCATCATCACATGTCCATTGTCGGGGCTCCAGGTTCCACGCTTCTCGAACCCTTCGTCAAAGTTTATTCCTCGCACCTCGTTGAGAATACCGTCGAGGAACTGGGCCAAAGTGACATGATGATCTGAACTAGCATTATCATACGATGGATGATGAGGCAGATCGAGTTTCTTCAGAGGCCCCAAGGTCAGATATTTGCGAGCTGGTCCTGATGTAGGAGAGATAGTAGTGTTATCAGGCATCGGATGTGTACCAACTTCCTGGCCAAGATCGTCCTGGGATTGCACTGGCTTAGACTGAGCAGAATCTCTGACTTCGACGGGCTCAGTCATGGTGGCGATCCAAGTAGCGGAGCGGAAGTCTTGGAAATATGCAATGAGCTACAACAGGTAATCGAAGCGGGATAGCTATAGCTGCTTGGTGGCTGACAGAACAGGTGCGTCGAAGGTCTAGACCACTGCAATGCAAGAACTAGTGTAGGACAGCGAGTAGGTGACCCGGCTATCAACACAGTATTTAGCATTGTTACACCCCAGTCACAGCGCCTTTTTACGTACATATTTCGGGAAGCCACAGGCTTCTTGCAAGGAAGACTTGTGGCGAATGTGATCCGTGTGACTGGTCTGACACGCCAGGTTCAGACCTCGGGATGTACAGCGATGGTCTGGAACTGCCTGGAAGTATGTGCACGGAGATTTTAGTGCAGTATAGAGGCAAATCGATGAATGCCAAGCAGAAGTCTGATGATGGACGTGATGATAGAGATGGAGTCGTTGCACTGGAACGGGAGATCGACAAGGGTAGATATGGCCCTGATTGGCTCGTTCCTGCCTGTGTGACACTACGATGTGCTAGCTGAAGCAGCAACCTTAGAAGCGTTTGCCATGAACTACATAGTAGCTGAAAGAAATACGAAATCTGGTTGCACGTAACTCGAAACTAGGATGAAAATTGTCTAGGTGGGTTTTGTGTTTTACGAAATACATGCTAGTGACACGCAAGTTACGGGTCCAGTGCTCAGCAAATCAAGATGTACGACGGGTCCTTCTTTCTATCTACACTAGTGGCACAAGACACTGCTACCTGGTGCTCTGAGAGTCTGCCTTGTACTCGTCGAGTATTACAAGCGTCTGTACAGGGCCTAGGTACGTCGGGTACAGCGTCGAGAAGGTTAACTGCTGCGAACCCGACACATTAGAGTGGTGTGTGAACCCCAGGTACCGAAGCGAGTCTTCCACGACATGCCTTTGATGCCTTTGGGTGGGATTAGCTGCAGAATCTGGAAACCTGCAGCGATGCACGAGTTCGGGACAGCGGTCCAAGCATACCTACATAATCAACGTGTGAAGCAAGAAAAGCAACCCTATGCCAGTTGATGTAACCATATCATCAAGATGAGAGCAAAATGAAGAAAGTGTGTAGACGCGGGCCGATTTCCAGTCCAGCATGCCGATCCAGACCAACTCGGCTGCCGACCTGTCCTGTTCACGCTCCGCGGACGTCATAATGATCAGAACAACTACTCCACGGAGCCCACAGCCAACGTCTGTGTCTGCAGGACCCTCTTTCGCGGCAATGGCAAGATCCCTCGTTCCAAATATTTGGCTCGACTAACTTTGACTGGTCAGTCGAGCTGCAACTTGTTTACTCCACAGCACCTGCATAATGCACAGATGTCTAGTACACCCTTGCGCTTTATCTTTGCCCTTTCGAAACGACGTGCCGAAATGCTAATTTTACCATGTCAGGATGCATGCGGATGCGAGAATCACGCAACACATAATCAGCTGTTTTCTCATTGTGGAATATCGCAAGATGCTTTGTCTTACTCCGAGGAAGGGCTAATGCCGCGGGGGCCATGCAGAGCGCTGTACGCGGCAGATGGACAGACTAGGGTCCCGGTGATCGACCCTGTATCCGAGCGAGCGCCTTGCGGACGGACATCGACAAATGCGTTTGTAGGACTTAGTTTTATTGCAGATTTGGGGTCCTGCTGCCTGCCATGTCAGGAGGCTTGTGATGTGGGTGGGTGGGCTTACTCCATTGCTTTGGCTTGCCGTCGATCTGCAAGCGCGACGGCATAAAATACCGACGATTTCTATTGTCGCGGGACATCGTAGCATCTGCCACGTGATTTCGGTGGGTTTGCTCAGACCCTGGCCATGTGGTGCCAGATTAGCATGCCAAATCCTCGATGTTGACAGACATGGGTAAACCCCCCAAAATCCACTCAACACGCCATGCCAAGCGCATGATCTCGATGTCGCTCGGGACAATTGACCGAAACAGATCCACTTGCGCACATGTACTGTACTCCTAGCTCTGGTTGCAGGCTGCAGTGGCGAGTTAGCTGCTGTCGGGTGCATGCTTTCCATTGGGCGCTATTGAATCCGCCGTATGCGAACATTGTTACCGCCTTGCACGACTGTGCGCTTCTTGATCCCAGACAGGACTGACTGCCAATCACACCACATCATGCAGTTGATGGAATAATCCAGACTGCCGTTCAGACCAGCTGCACATGCCCAGGTGTTCGAGATGGATTAGGCAGTGTCATTCATGCGAATAGATCTAGATTTCCTATGTACATCCTACACGCCTTCCTTGCCCTTGCGCACACGCTGCACATGCAGAGATTCGTGCTCCTTACGGCATTAACCGTGGAGGCTGAGCCTTTCCGAACTCTAGCATACAAGGACAGGCTCTCTGTATGCACGTAGCGTAATCCGAACGGCGCGTGCGTTGCGGACTTAGAAGGGCCGGTAGTTCATCTCCAACACTTCAATCCTCGAGGTAGGGATCCATCCTCCGTATAATCACTTGGTATTCGATAGGCCAATAAGTGGACTGGTTGCGTTGGGGTATCATCTCGAAATAGCAAATAACATATGAAAACGTAAAGCGTCCCCGCGCATGCTCACTTGGCTGGTGCGCGGTACACGCATAGCAGTCATGTCGTTGCTGACGTCTCGCAGCGAAACAGTTTGTGGTCGCATGCGGTATGCACTACCCACTGGAACGGGCCATGCGGACTGCTCATGCCGAATCATGTACTGTAACATTGGTATAGCGTTCAAAAAAAGAATCAAGGTGAGCTTTCGGTCTCGACCATGTCGTCGTCCACTGCTCTTGATGCCAGTTCTCCTGCTCTTACGAGGACCGCAAGTGACCCCTGATTACGATAGTCATGGGGATTGTGCGAGAGGTGTGATGGCATGGGCGGTATCGGCCGATCCAGTGGCGAGGCTAGGGGTGCTATACTGGGCACTGGCTGGGGAAGCATGCGCATCGTCTTACTCGGGTCTGCAGGTAATGTCTGCCCAGGATAAGCCGACAAGGTGTACCCTTGAGATCCTTGATTGCTGTGACCACTCTCGGACGACAATGTTGTATCTTCGTGACTGAGAGGGGGGAGACGCGAGGAGTCGCGCGGAGTCCTGCGAGAAAGCATGTCGTTTGGCCCCTGAAAGTGATTTGGGTGGGGATATGGAGGTGGTGGAGTCGATGCAATCTTTTGGTGGAGGTCCAGGTTGTACGCAGAAGGCTGATGGTACGGATTGGCATCGAAGGGGATCCTCGTTTCTCGAATGGAATTGGGTACGGATGGGTCATAGACACCGCCATCTCTTTGCAAGACCGTGGTCCGTGGAGATGCAGATGTGGGGGAGAATTGTTCGCCCGAACGGGGGGAGTTGAAGCCAGAAAGGGGAATATTGGCCGGCGATGTCGAGTTCGAAGCGTAGACTGGACCAGGTGGTAGCCGTGAAGGGGGGATTGGTTGGGTGGGATCCGGTTTTTGTTGTAATGCTGCTTGGGCATCGGACTGAATAGAACTCAATCTCCTGTTTGCCGGTGGGTCGGCCTGTTCATTGCTACCTCCTCGTGTTGAAGTGGTGGTTTCGGTTTCGAGCTTTGAGCGTTTGCCTTCTGCACGTGTCAATACATTGCGGCACATGACGACGGAAGCTGTGGACAGACCTTTAGTGGGCACTGAGTGCTTCGACTTGAAATCTTCGAGATACTTTTGGTACGCTTCGAAATGGGGCGTCTTCTTGTACTCAGCCAGCTCTGCATAGTATTTCTCTTTGGCACCATTGGCCTGTCGTTCACAACCTTCGCGTTCCTCGGCAGGCAAGACTTGCCATTTCTCACCGACTACCTTGGCAATCTCGGTGAAGGTAAGGTCTTGTCCCTTGAGTGACTCTCGCACCTCTGCTGCGGATTAGTCGTGATCGCGTTGGACCAGAGACCAGAGACCAGACTTACGATTGGAGAATATGACGTAAGCAGAGGGTGGACGTTCCGGTGCATGTTCATCAGGCTGCGTTGGGTTAGCGATGTTGCACGACATACGGGATCTGCAGAGTGGCCTACCTTGGGATGTCGACGGTACTTCCGCTTGGCCCCTGTTCCATTCGGTGCAGTATTGGTGGGCTCTGGCTGCTTGCTTTTGCTCTCTGGCCCCGAGTCGTCACTGCGATACGAGCCGGCAGTGCTCCCAGCTCGTGCAAGATTGATGGGCAGAGGCCTATCCGAAGACTGTCCGCGCGATTCGGCGATGGCCCGTTGAAGTTTCTACGAGGAGGTCAGTTGTTGCTGGTGGTAACGTCGCAGGATAGTGACGTACCCGACGATGGCCAAGCTTGACGTTGAGGGAACTTCTACGGAATAGTAAGCATGGGCGGCTTGGGTAGGTAGGGGTGGAGCCATTGCGCACAGGTCTGATTCTGTAATGTCGAGCACAGTCTCCCAAGTGTCGAAGCCTTCGGCTGTGAACACTTCGTGGTACTGGGACAGTCCCAATCGCGCGAGACGTTCTCTCAATTCGCTCATGTAGGAGGGCGTGAGCGCGTGGACTGGGCGGTGTGGTGTAGCGACCAACTCTCGAACAGCGCGGGCCAGAGAGGACTTGGTGTGTCGTAGATTATTAGAGCACTAGTGGCAACGGGGTGGGAATCGAGCGTGATCGAGCGGGCTCGAGTATGGCGGAACTAGTGTACAGGGATCAAATAGGAAATGCCTGGGTCGTGGGGTGGCTATGTGATTGGTGCGGCACGACGAGTGTGGCGGATCGACTCGTAACGAAAATCCGCGTAGGGGTCAAAGTGTTGCAGGGCGCAAATGCGCAGAGAAGAGCAAGAGAAGGAGCAGTCAACGACTAAGGTGCATCCATAAGTGGTGGCGCCTAACGTTGGGTTTGGGGTAGGTGGGTCCCGGACCGATCAGCAGAATTCTGTGATTATGCTGTGGTAGGGGCAGGGAGGGAGCGTCTCGGCTATTGTAGTGGTGAAGACAGCGGACGCAGCCTAGTAGATACGCGGCCAGGACAACGGCCGTCGAGAGTCAGCAAGCGGCCGGAGCTCATTTGGCGCGTCCCAAGCGGTGGTGCGCGCTGCGCAGAGTCGCACGAGGCCTGGGTTTGCGGTGAGAGCAGGCAGTTCCGGGCGAGAGCGGTGCAGGAGCAGGCCCAGGGCAGAGGGACAGGGCTAGCAGTAGGCAGGATTCGGCGCAATCATCGCGGGCGTTGCAATTGGCGCAGGGGCGGAGCAGAAGCGGACGGCGTGGACGAGGGATGACGCTGATGATGGGACAATGGGGTTTGCGAAAACAAGAGTCCGGGAGCCAGAAAATAAGGACGTGTGACTGTGCAGCAACACCTAGGCCAGGGCTCTCGAGATCAGAGCAGGCGATCGGCGGAACAGACAGGCAGAGGGCGGCCAGGGGGGCCACGGTGCGAGCGAACGCTCCAGCCACGTCTTCCGGACGGGGAGCTCACTGATGCGGAATCTTGTCCTGGCGATGACGTGGGCTGATAGGCTGCGAGGCGTGCGGGCAGCGGGTGATGCTGTCAAGTCTACAGAACATCTCACGCAGAGGCACGATCGACGAAACGCCGGTACCTACAGTAGGGCCGGTTCGCATGAGCCGGCGACGTCCTGGGCTGCCATGTGCGCTGCCAATACACGCTGACCGTAATTGCAATCTCGTAACAACCATGGAAACTCCCAGATGCCCATCGCAGCTCGTGCCGTGCGCCAGGCTGCCAGAGCCTTGCCACAGTGCAGCGCAGGTGCCTTGCGTCATGTTGAAGCCATGATGGCATGGCTATTGCCATTGCAAACACCGCTGTATAGCCGAGCAGACGGCCTCGCGACGTCAGCTAAGCGACTACCAGACACTCGATCTGCGATGCGACGCAGCTGGCGGCGTCGTGTACGAACGAACAGCAGACCCTTCAAAGCCCGGGACGGGCTGCATCGGCGATGGAAAATTCTGGATCCAGTCGCTCAGCACGCGGCGACGCCCTGCAGCCCATCGTCTCCCGACTCTGATCAGTTCCAAGTTTTGTCAGTAGGTTGCTATAGCCGTCATGGCTCCAGCTGGTGGCCGATCGCTGTGCTGCCAGGGGCGGACAGGGCCCCTGGGCATCCACCTCCGCCCGAGCGTCATCGCCAGCGGAGCGGAACGTTGCTTCCAAGGTTTCTTGGCTACAGCACGCACGTGACGTGACAGGCGGGCACATGCACATCCATGATATTCCATTGCGCTATGTCTCATCTCAAGGTCCAAGGTCATGGCATTCTAGACCCTGCGCGTGTCATCAGAACCGCCCCGAATCTCTCCCAGCGTGACCATCGCGACCCACGGCTCGTCACCCTTTGACTGACGTCGCCGTGTTTCTCGGTAACAGACCATGCCGGGCTAGGCGCACCAACCGCAGTCGTGGGCGTGTCGTTGTTGTCGCAATGTGGTTTGAAATCATACGATGCTGCTTCGCATCGGCCCTACTCGTCCTCCAGTACAGTTTGCCCATCGCCTCCCGGCACCATCTGGAGCTGTCAGTCATGGCGCCAAACGAAACAGCCTGTTTCATACCATGCAGATGTTGTTGCCGTTCAGTAGGATTTTGGGCAGCTCGACGTTCCCCTCGGCTGGGTCACTGCCACCGCGTCAGTCGGATGTGTCCATGTCAGACCTGCAAAGAACCTTGGAAGCACGCACATTTCCGTCACATTCTCCAGCACCATGTCTGTGTCTTTTAGAATAGTTTCATCTCCCGACTTCCCAGATGTACTTACTGACGTAGTCGTCGAAACCCACCAGCTTTCCAGTGAATTCCTTCCCGCCGTTCATGATGACCCAGATCTGCGAACCCACGCACTTGTCGATGAGCTCTGCAGTAATTTAGTCATGAACCGACACCTGGTCGGACAGAGACGCACCTAGCGGAAGAAGGTTCTCGAGCGACATGGTGACGTGGTATGTTGTGAGCTGAGTTTCGGTCGTTGAATGCAACTGTCGCGTTTGAGGTGTCGGTACAATCAAGGTGGTGATTGCCCAGGTGGTGGGCTTGATATCTTGGCGTTCAAGACCACCGCATCTGCCACAGGCCGCGCTAGCCAACCACTGCTCGCGCCACAATAGGCAGCAAGCGTCCTCGTCCACACAATCGACTCGCGCCCGTGGCGACCATCTCCTCCTGCCGGTGCCTATTGGGTGCACTACCATGGAGTGTTATGCTCTTCAGTCGACGCGCCTCTCTGCTGAGCGCGTCAGATGCCCCACGGCGTGTTTGCCATGAGCCGCCTACCCACGCCTTCTTCTCCGTAGAGCGCCATACACAGTACTCTCGTATACTCAGAGCGATGCACACTACCCCATTACGCTCGACGCCTACCACCTCACCCTCCTCGACCTGCCGATGGAAGCGGGGACGGCCCGTTCCTCGAAGCGACAACTTTCCTAGACGAATCCACAAGACTCCCGTCCCTGCGCTACAACCTCCTGCTACCCAGCCTACTTCTATAGACTCAGCCTCCATGGCTCGGGACCATCGCCAAATACGTCAGGTCTCGGCTGCGTTACACGTACGACTAGCCGAGGCGGCTCCAATACTGGGCGCTGACCGATTTCAGCGGGTGGGACTATGGAATCCAGCTCACGGACTACGCTTTGCGACAACAGCGACAGCGGAGGCGCCCAAGCCGGATATCCCAGAAACCACAGAGACCGAGTCCTCACCTCAAGACGATGTGGCTGCGGCAGCCCGTACCGATGACCCCTTCCCGCACACCCATAATGAAGCAGGCGATGCTGTCGGACAGGATGGAGAAGCTAGTACGGGACACATCTCGGAGAATGCAGACTCTAGCGACCTCTCGTCCGAAGGAGAGTTGGAAACCAAGGACGACGAAGACGTAGATGAACATGTCTCTCTTACCTATCAGATCCCAGAGGAAAAGCTGCGTGCTGCAATGCTTGCCACTCCCCAAACTCGTGATAGTTATTGGAGTGCGAAGCTATACCAAGGGCCCGAGGGCGAAGCGATCTCGACCCATTATTGCAAGTCTTTCGACGTTGCTGAAAGGGTGGCCAAATACTTCTTACAAGAAAAAGTGGTGGGCTTCGACATTGAGTGGAAGCCTCGCGGAAACCCATATTCCATCAAGCAAAATGCGTCGTTGATTCAGCTCGCGTGCGAAGATCGCATCGCACTCTTTCATGTGTCGCTGTTCTCTGGGAAGACAGTCGAGCAGCTGATGCCACCCAGTCTGAGGGCTGTTCTAGAATCACCCAATATTTACAAGGTAGGTGTGGCTATCAAGGGAGACTTCAAGCGCCTGGAAAAGTACCTCAACATTCAATCTCAAGGTGTCTTCGAGCTTAGTCGCTTGCACAATCTAGTTGAATGGTACGAGGTGGAGCCTAGCAAAGTGTCAAACAGACTTGTAAAACTCGCTTCTCAGGTGCTACAGCACCTCCAACTGCCTTTGTACAAAGGAGAGCGACTAGTCGACGATCCGGATACAACCTCCAGCGTCCGAGAAAGTGACTGGAGTCTGTCCTTAGATTTGCAACAGATACACTACGCGGCTGCCGATGCATATGCTGGCTTTCGTCTTTATCACATGCTTGAGTGGAAGAGGACACGGATGAAGCCAGCCCCTCCTCCAGTGGCCCTTTGCGACTTCGACAACAAGCCTACTCCCAGGCCAAAGGTGCCCCGCAAAAGGGTAAAGGCAGCTACCAAGTCCGACGATGCAGCGGACGTAGTTGCGAAGCCGTCAATCGACGTGACAGAAGAGCAACAAGAAGATGAGGAAGACGCGGAAGGGTACGAGACGGCGACGGAGGAATTTACCGACAGTCATGAGCTCGAAGACGCACCAAATGAAACAAGAAAAGCTGCGCCCGTGGATGACTCAAACAAGGCCTCTGCGGCTGAGGCTGCGATGAAGCCCGATTCGAACAGTGTTGAAGAAAGTGGAGTTTCTTCACAAAAGCGAATTGGCCGTGTGAGCCTTTCCTGGCTCCAAAACACCGACCCCGGATACCCTGAGCTGCCCAAGACATCGCAGGAAGAGGACGTGGGCCTACAGTCTACCGGATCTTCCAAACATGAGGTTGCCATGCAGATGGAGAAGCAAGGCCATGGTATTTCACGCCGGGAGCAGAACGATAGCGATGATGAATACCCAGACCCAGAGCTTGAAGATGCGCTTAGACGCATGTCTTTGGACGAAAGTGGGAAGCTTATTCAAGACGGGAACGAAGCAGCATCAGAGCATACTAGCCCAACACCTACCATAAGCCAAGACGATCTGGGAACGCAGTCAGTACTTCCTACCCATCCAGCAACCACGCAAGCTTCTAATACTGCCAAAGTGGCTGAGCCATCAGGTCTCAAGCATGATTCCCTCGATGTTGTCGATTCCGCCGTGCCAACACCAGCTCCGCAATCAAGCATCGGCCTACTCAATGAGTCATCACGAACACCTGAGTACAACTTGGCGACGACATGGGCACAGGAACATCTTCAAGTCACTATCCCATCGCCTACTTCAACAACACCCTCAGGTATACGCGCAACTGTGACACACCTTCGCGCATATCACATGTGGCACTACCAGAAGCTCCCACTCGAGAAAATGGCAGCAATCTTGCGAGATCCGCCGCTCTCGAATAACACGATTGCGAATTATATCTTGCAGGCAGTCACACTGGAGAGGCTTGAATATGAGGAAGACTCTCTTCGAAGTGTGTTACTAGCGCTACCTCCAGGGATGCGAAAGGGACGATGGAGGGGGCTGGCCGAGGAAGTTGGCGTGTGACATGAACACATCGACCGTAACCTAGACATTGGCAGAGTATTCTCGAATGAACAAGCTATTCTTAGATGTTTTGTGAACGTGGGATGAAGTTGAATACGTGTTCAGAGGATTTGCGGTGTGTTTATGTGTTCTCTTCGTATTCACACTTGTCAGTTTGCACATGGAACGCAGGACGCGGAAGCCATTCCGCTTTTGTCAACCAAGTCGTGGCTCATCTTTACGCGTCTATGGTCAGCTCACGCGTCTATACTCAGTGCTGCGCGTCTATGATGTTGCGATACAATGTGACACGCCAACGATGTCCAAGTATATGAACAGTGGACAGTTGTCACCATTCAGCCATGGCCGTACTCACCAGGTACCATGTGCGGTGCAAACTAAGTCAGGGTCCAGACACGCCCGCACTAGGCAGACCCCACGCGTGCCAACCGCGAAACTGCGGTGAGGAGCAGCCATCCCTGCAGGAACTCCGAAATACATCAGGACAGCCGGCCCCTGCTTTGCTACACCTCTGACTGTTCTGACGATCTTCGACCATCCCAATTGAGCTTTGTCTGTCCGCATACCTGTCAATTCAAGACTCACGAGGAGACTCCCACCATGGCCGCCGCCGCAGCTGTCTACCCCCCGCTCGACCAGCGCCCGGTCAAGAACACGGTCCTCCTGTTCGATGTCGACGACACACTCACAAAGCCCCGTCAAGTGTGTACACTCGATGCATGCTCAGCGATGCTTCTCTAACACCGTTGCAGCTCGTCACTCCGCAGATGCTGCAGCTCCTTTCCGAAGTCCGTCACAAGTGCGCCATCGGTTTCGTTGGCGGCTCCAACCTCGTCAAACAACAAGAACAGCTCGGCGGCCCCGTAGACGTTACCTCGCTGTTCGACTTCTGCTTCGCCGAGAACGGACTCACTGCCATCCGCATGGGCGAGGTCCTGGCTAGCCAGAGCTTCATCGCGTGGATTGGCGAGGACAAGTACAAGCAGTTAACCAAGTGGTACGTATATACAGCAGGTTGTGGGATATCTTTAACACTGATTCTAGGATTCTTCACTACATCGCTGATCTCGACATCCCCATCAAGCGCGGTACCTTCATCGAGTTCCGCAACGGCATGATCAACGTCTCCCCCATCGGCCGTAACGCCTCCACCGAAGAGCGAAACGAATACCAAAAGTACGATCTCGAGCACAAAGTTAGGGAAACCATGGTCGCCAAGCTCAAGGAAGCATTCCCCGACTCTGGTCTCACATACTCCATCGGTGGTCAAATCTCGTTCGACGTTTTCCCTACTGGCTGGGACAAGACCTACTGCCTGCGACACATTGAGGCGGAGAAGGGACTGACTGGTGTCGTCTACGACAAGATCCACTTCTTTGGCGACAAGGCTTACGAGGGTGGAAACGACTGGGAAATCTACAGCGACGAGCGGACGATCGGACATAAGGTCAAGAACCCAGATGATACCTATGCGCAACTTTCGGAGCTGTTGAAGAGCTTCCAGTAGTGGGTTTGGACGCATTAATAACTATTCTGACGAAGCACCCACGGCAGCATCTTTCCGTCTGATATGAGGAAGATAGTACTGGCGATAGAGTACGACATGTAATGTGAACAAGAATCATACGATGCCATTGGTCGAGGGATACGTTCTGGGCCTCGATTTCCAGCATTCCCTCGCATCGGCATATGCCCAGATTTTGACTTCCGCGCAGTTGCCGCACTCCGTGACTTTAGTGGAGCAGCGTTGATCATTCGATAGTGACTTCCTGTGCACCAAGGCATTTCCCGATGACCCATACCGGAAACAACAGCCCGACTTGCTATCAAAACCTTAAATCTGCAGGGCTCAGCAAAGGGTCCAGTAGTGAGAGGCTTATTCATACAGCGCCCTGCTTGGTCACCATCAGCTTCAATGCCGAGATACGTACACTCTTTCTATTATAGGCAGTTCGGAGCTGAGCGTGTCAATCAACCACGCTGGTCGTCATTGGCTTGTCGTGTAACATGGCGTATGCAGGTACTCAATCCGATCATCTCCCCGCACCGGAGTACAGCCGGGATCATGGCACCGGAAGTTAGAGGTAGAGTGCACATTGTGATTGGGTCCATCCGCACCGATTGATACACAACACCGGTTTCCAAGACGGCTTTTCACAGCATGACATGCCGTTTAAGATGCAGGCCACTTTCGCTGATCGAAATGCTAGATCTTGCATCTCAACACCGAAGCAAGGAAGCCAGATCTGACCGGGCAGCTGGGAGTATACAAGTACCGACAAGAATACGGCGACATCCTGGGAACGAACTGCTAACTTTTACACGTACTCCATCATGAGACTACCTACAACCCCGCTCTTCCTACTCCCAGTTCTCGTGTCAGCATCCCCTCTCCACCATGCTTCCTGCATTCCACCACAGACTTCTTCCAACACTTCCAACACTTACGACTATATCGTCACCGGTAGCGGTCCAGGAGGCGGTACAATCGCCACCAATCTCGCTCTTGCTGGACACTCCGTTTTGTTGATCGAGGCTGGATCGGACGCTTCGTTTGATATCCGCACCCAAGTGCTCGCTCTGAATGACTACTCCAACACGAATGTAGCGTGGCACTTCTTCGTCAAGCATAGTGATGACGAGGAGAGGTTGAAGAGGTATAATCTGTTGGTTTGGAGGTTGAAGAATGGGGAGTGTAAGTTGAGATAACGATAGACATTACCTGGGCCTGCCTTGCTAATGTCAGTGATAGACTGGGTTGGGAAAGATCCCAGTGTTGAGGGACACGTAGGCGCTGAGAGATTGGGCGTTTTCTATCCTAGAGGTGTAAGTGGCATCCTTCCCTTGCGAACTGCATGCGAAATAGTTACTGATCGTATATGCTGCAACGTAGGCCACTTTGGGCGGGAGCGCGATCATCAACGCAGCTGCGACGTTCCTGCCAAGCGACAGCGACTGGGACTTCTTTGACAAGGGCGTTGAAGATGGTATTTGGAGGTAAGTCGCCAACAAGTCTCGTCTCTCAAGATAGTACTAACATTCACACAGTGCCGAATTGATGCGGAAATACTTTGAGAAAATCGAGCATAACAACTATCTCGAACCCGGTACTCCTGGTCACGGCTTTAAAGGCTGGCTACAGACGAACATTGCTGATCGAGCTACCCATGCGGCTGAAGCACTCCGCTTCAAGGTCTTCCAAGCTGGATTAAAATTGGTTGGGAAAGATCCCGAAAATGTACTGGACTACCTCACCAGCGACGCGAACTATCTCGATCCAATGCGTGACCAGACAGAGGGTCTGTCGTCACTGCCATTCCACGTCACACCCAACTGGAAGCGCTTCAGTCCACGCGACCGTATCCAGGAATTGCGCAAGCTAACGAATTCGAACGGAACGTTGAAGTATCCGCTACATCTGCAGCTTGAGTCTTTGACCACGAAGGTGCTATTCGATGAGTGCGGTAGCAATGGCACAAAGCCGCGAGCCATTGGAGTCGAATACTTGCAAGGCAAGTCCGTATATAAGGCCGACCCACGTCGTAACACATCCACCACCGGTACACTGCACCAAGCTTTCGCTCGAAAAGAAGTCATCGTAGCTGGTGGTGCCTTCAACTCGCCGCAGATCCTACAGCTCTCTGGTATCGGGCCCAAAGCTCTTCTTGAGAAGTACAACATCCCTGTAATCTCTAACTTACCGGGTGTGGGTCGCAACCTCCAGGACAACTACGAGGTACCCATTTACGGGAACGCCCAAATCAGCTTCGCAAAGACACCTGACCCCAATGCACCAAAATGCACAAACGGATCACCCGGCGATCCATGTATCGAACTTTGGTACAATGGCCAAGGACCCTACGCGCGCGGCGGCACAAACTCGAACGCGTTCCTCCTCAAGACAGCCCATGCGGTCGAAGGCGAAAGAGACGAACTAATGTTCGGCTTCACGGGTGGCTCCTTTGCAGGCTTCGCGCCACCGACGTCTCAAAACACGACACGCTACCCTCCCACAACATTTTCTTGGTCCACCGTCAAGATACATCCCCAGAACACTGCCGGATACGTCCAAATCCGATCAGCCGACCCAGTAGACACACCGGAAGTGAATTTAAACTACTTCGCCGAGGGCGCAGCAACAGATTTAAACGCCATGCTCGACACTGTTGCTTTCGTCCGTAGAGCATTTGCTTCCACCGAAGCACCGGTCGGACCTGTGACACCTGTTTCTCCACCCTGTCCGCCGGCTGATGTCCTTGAGACGGGCTACTGCCGTGAGGTGCAGATTGATAGGGAGTGGATTCACGACCAAGTCTTTGGTCACCACCCCACAAGTGCGAACAAGGTCGGCCCGGATTCTGATCCTATGGCCGTGTTGGACACGAGGCTGAGGGTTAGAGGGGTCGAAGGGCTGCGGGTAGTAGATGCGAGTGCATTTCCTAGATGTCCGGGTGCGTTTCCGGCGGTTAGCACGTTTTTATTGAGTGAGCGGGCGACGGATCTGGTGTTGGAGGATGTGGGCAAGTGGTGAATTGGATGTTTGTTGTTGGTTCGCAAGGCTATAGAGAGATGGTGCAAGCATTGCAATGGCCATTCTACGAGCTTGACTGAGATAAAAGTGAATTGAATTTTCGAATATTTAATGTACAGACAAAGAGTAATCGACGCGAATCTCTCATCGAAGCAGTGGGAAAGCAGCATGACGAATGTCAGCTCCAGGAGCCCTGCATTAGCGTCTCTGGCCCTACCTAACAGCTTTGATTGGGCCTACAGGGAGCTGGGTCCCCACAGTGCCCTCCCTGCCGTGATCGATGGATTTGCTGTAGTTGCCTAACAGGGAAAGCCGTCCCTATGGACAAGGCTTTGATTGGTGCGACAGGGACAGCGAGATCCACACTGCCCTCACTGCCCTTCCTCTCTCCCGCGATCGATAGTCTTTGCATAGTTGCCTGATCGGGAAGGCTTCCCTGTGGAGCCAATCAGGGCCTCGCCTACAGGGCCAGCGGTCTCCACAGTGCCCTTCCTGCTGCAATCGACAGTCTTCGCACACCTTCCTAACCGGGAAAGACCCCCTGCCAGCGAGGCCCTGATTGGCTCCACAGGGCTGGGAGAGGGAGAACGCGTTCCCGCGGCCAAAAATTATTTGTCGCAAAGCGTCCAACCCCAAACCAGTCCGCCAAAACCACCGCATTCCACTGCAAACCTACGTAACTCGAAAGCGCCGAATTTCAACCGACTTCTGTAACAAAACACACAAAATGAAGCTCCTCACCCTCAATTTCCTCACATGCGCCATCAAAACCTGCAAAACCAACCCCGCGTCCTTCCCCCTCCACCCCCGCGATGCCGAACTCGAAATCGTAGAAGCAGACATCAACCTCGCCTTTCTCAAGAATATACTACCGAGGATCATGTGGGATGAATTGAGGGGGATATGCAGCGAGGTATGCGACCAAGAAAACACCCACCAGACGGGGAAGCGTATGCGCATTGCATACGTACCTGCTTCAAAACCTTGGACAGAAAGCTAACGAATAGTGCTTTCTAGCTTGGTCTTCCTGAACTCCCCGCAACAGCACCCACGCCCGCCGATCTCGTCGAACCTTCCTCTTCCCCCGCTTCAGCATTAGACACCACAGACGCGACATCAGCGGCTGCGACGGAAGAGATAGAAGAGGAGCCTAGCCAGACAGCGAAGGATCTACACAGGATATTGCTTGAGACGTGTATACAAGAGGGCAAGCTGGTGTGTGGGGCGTGTGAGCATGAGTATGCGGTCAAAGAGGGGGTTGCGAATTTCCTGTTGCCGGGACATTTGGTATGAGTTGGGGCGACTGAGATGAGGTCTCTTGGTTAGACATCGGAGTGCCAGTGGAAGACGCGTCTATCGAATAACTACAAGCGCGACTGGCAGTCTATGGTGGACTTGGGCTGAAGAGTGTGTACAACACTATGATGCCGTGGGCACAGTATGAATGCTGTGCGCCAGCAGGGGAGAACGATAACTGTGAAAGAGGATTGGAGGTGGTTGGTGGGAGCGGTTACTTGATACCCTTTTGATTGCGTTCACCCACATATGGGGGAAAGCATTGTGCTGCACACGAATCTAAGGCCTCTGCGGCCTGTATTGCTTGCAGAAGCATCACCCAAGTCAAATGAAACATCGATGGAGGGCAACGCGTTCAAGAATTGAAGCTACACTTTTCCCTAGCCAAAATGGTATCTACGATATGCGCCCAAACACCTATATGATGGCACTTCTACCAGCGAGAATCACGAGCCGAGAGCGCGGTTGATCTGCACCCTCTTATCCTCACCACCCGAGACAATACCCACTGCACTATCCCATCTTACGCTGAAAACCTTCGCGCCTTCTCCATGACTCTTGGCACTTTCGCGTCCTTGCCTGTAAATCGTGTACACGCTCTCACCAGTCATTCCCTCTCCAACCTGACCACCTGTGCTAACATTCCTGAGATCCCAAATCTGCACCGTTCCGTCATGCGAAGCAGACGCCAGGTTGTATTCGGAAGATGGATCCGTGTCCAAAGAAACAACACCGTTCTTGTGGCCTCGTAGTGTCATGACACTAATTTGCGTGGCAGATGCGCGGGGATCGACCAATGTGATGTGTCGTGCTGAGGTACCGGTTGCAAGCAGGTTTCGGGAGGGGATGGCGCATAGGGAGAGAAGCGAGTGACCGGTCGTTCGGGTGTCAACGCACGATTGGGTAGGCAGATCCCATGTTTTGAGTGTGTGGTCGTGAGATGCCGAGTATGCGACTGTAGCATCGTCTGGTTTGAAGATGACGCTAGATACCGGCGAAGTGTGACCGCTGAATGTAGCCAGTGCTCCGCGAGCGGGGACCGTGCGATCGGGCTTTGAAAGCTTCTGTCGCTTGTTCGACGCAGCCGTTGAACTGGGCAGGAAGTTCGCCGGCGCGACGGGGTTCTCCTTTGCGTTGCTCGAGAACAGCGAGATAGTGGTATCCGAGGAGGCGGAGAGAACGCGACTCGAAGGCGCATGGACTGCGACGTCTTCTACACCCCAGCGGTGGTTGAACAGCTCGAGAGCTGTGGTGATAGTCCTCGCATCATCGTCGTACTTGTAGACACGGACGGTGTTGTCCAGCCCTGCAGCTACCATCTTCTTCTCCGATAACCATTTAGCCGTCTTCAAGCTTGTAATTCGACCACTGTTATTGGGAGCCTCTGAAGTCGCCAAAACATCGCCCGAGGTATTCCACACTCTTAACAGTCCATCATAACTCGCGCTCAATATCCTCTCTTGCCCACTTTGCACTCCCGACAGAACATCCACGGCCGAAACCCAGTCGTCGTGTTCGAAGCTCGTGACGTTTAGCGGTGGCACCAAAGCCCTCGTGTATTCAACGTCCAGCGTCGATTCGGCATTGATACCATTTTTCGTGAGGAATTCGTCGATTGTGGTTCGGAGAAATTCGCCGTTGATCAAGATGTCGAAGGGTATGCGACTGCCGTCATCGCGGTGCAGGAGTTCGTTCACAAGTGTAGAAAGCTTGTGTCGAGTCAAAGCTGTGAGCGCATCGGCGTTAGCTCTGTATCTAGACGGACTGCGCAGCGCTTTGTAGTCTGAGACCACAGCAGCGTAGTCGCGACGGCTCGCATTGCTGCGCAAACATGCTGCGGTAGGTGGCTAGAGGCCGCGACATGCGACTAGGCTTCCGGTAGTTCTACTCACATGTCTGAACCAAGAGGATGTTCGGCTCCTCCGAAATCTGCAGAGCAGCATCGCGCGTCGTAAGGCGAATCTGCACCTTGGTCTCTGCGGCGTCGATATCCATGGCGTCGGCGGGTTTGGCGGTATATGTTGATTGGTGTTGAAGTTACGAAGCTTAGGAAATTTTGGGATCTCGAACTTTTTTTCGAATCCGGTTAGCGCGGAAGGAGCCAGCCAGTCGGCGTTCGTGAACCTCCGCTCGTGGTACTATATATTGTGTCTCTTCAGTAGTTCAATCTATGCAGAAAGTATTAAAGCCGGCTGATAGTCGGATATAGGTTTTCGGTGTTTCAGAAGACTAACCGAGAACTAGGGTCGATCTATCACTAGAGTACTACGCATGCGCTCAAGAGGAAAGTCGTGTGTTGTTTCCTTCACGTAAATTGTCATTTACTAAGTCATACTGGTTCTCCTGATCTCAGCGATAGCTCTCCTCCGGTGATCACTAGGCGCGAACAGAGCCTCGATCAATCCAATCACCTCTTCAGCTTCCATCTCCAACTTCAGCTCGCCGTCCGTCCAGAAGTATTTGATATCCGCAAGGCTGCTGTCCAGAATTTCGCTCAGATACTGGAATTTGAACCAGTTGGGCGTGTAGATACCGGCCATGTCTCTTGTTTCTCCGTTGCCATCCTCGGTCTGGAAGTGTTGGGATAGAGTAGCAAGCGAGACACAGTACCCATGTAACTTCCTCGACTCATCTTCTGCAATATCTGACATGTCCTCGACGTCGTTGATAAACTTTGTGAGGGCAGCTGACACCAACGAGCCAAGGGACTGATGTAGAGCGCTATGTGAAAGGACATTCTGCCACTGTCGCTTCACATCACCTATGCGATCTATTGTCGTAGCGATGGCGTCATCACAGACCGTAGCGAACGGAACGTTCGTACAGCCTTGGAAGCCTTGCGCATCTTCAAGATGATCCCGGATGATCTGTCTTTGTGACTCCATCTCGCGTCCGTATGCACGCTTTCCAAATCCGTCGATCGTCTTGATGTCAGATTCGATCAGCGGTTGGAGGCGTTTGGAAGGTCGCAAGTGCTGTGGCAATGTAGACGATTTATCTCTTTCAGCTTGTTCTTGAAGAAAGAATCGCAGACGATCCGATAGTCGCTGGCAGTCGTTGTAGATGAGCATGTTACTGGCGATATCTTTTGAGTAATGCATCACAGCAGTAGCTCGGTACATTGCCAACAGGAGGCTCGGAATCGCATATAGACCCCCGCTTGCGGGTGCGATTGCAGACTTGACCAGCTCGGATGAGTTTAGCGTGTCTACTTCTGCAATGACCTGCAAGATTATCTCCATTATGGCATCTGGGATCGCTGTCACTGTATATGTCTCCCGAAGGGTGACCTCCTGGTGCGCCGACTGTTTTTGAGAGGCAGGTTTTCCGTTCGTATTCGATTGCTCCGTTGTATGTGCTGCAGGCTTCGGCGTTGTGGTGGGTTTGGTATCAGCCTCGTCATCCCAATCAGCGCCCCAATCATCTGCATCCTCTGCATCAGCTGGCTTTTCTTTGGCCTCTTGCTCTTTTGGTTCATCTCCGATCACGTCATCATCCTCACCCCAAGCACTCATATCCTCTTCTTCGATAGTCTCTTTTTTCTCTTCTGCGGTATCACCCTCCTCGTCCCAATCGGCGGCCCAGTCATCTTCTTGTTCGTTACCAGCGTGCAATGCATCACCCTTCGATATGACTTGCGTCTCGACCCGCTCAACAGTCTTCTTCTCTTGCACCTTCTTCGGAAATATCGTTTGTACTCGAGCGATCGCATCTTCTTTCTGTTTAGCAAGCCAGATCTCGGCAGATTTATCTACCCATTCAGCTAGACGATTCTGACCTGACCAGCCGAGCTCATCGAGGTACTCGACAAAGCCCAAGATATATGAAAGCGATTCTTGAAAATGTGGTATCCCGTCCGTTGATAATGGCACGGCAGGCAAAAGCAGGTTCGAGATCAAACGAGACGCAATGATCGGAACGATCTTTGAGGAAAGCGGAACTGCGATACTAGGCGGTAGACGCGTGCTCAAATACTCAGCGAGCAAGTGCATGTCCTCCAAGGTAGCCTTGACCGCACCATCATTCACCGGGCCAGCACGTTGGATCACATCTTCCTGGATGTTGAAGGCGGACACAACCCGGTCGGTGCCCATAGCCAGTCGGGGAGCGATTATGATCTTATCCAGGTCACGGCTCAAGCGGGTAACGAAGCTGTCCAGGAGACCCAACTTCGTAAGCGCCTCAACAGTTGTGTTGATATCGACTTTGGCCTCGCGTTCGATCGACTGATACAATGAGATTTTATGATTGGTGTTGTCGACTGCAATCAGCCCGTTCCAAGACTCGGTGACCGTCTCTACGATGGCTTTCTTCAGCTGCTCCTCCTTGATCTTCAGCACACCCACCGCTCTTGTAGTCGTGAACAGCCCAAGTCCCTGGAATGCGCCATCTGCATCCTCCAAAGTCTGTATGGCATGCATAACATGGCCATGTACAGCAGCATTTTGGGCAGAGTCGAGCAGGGTCGAGATGTCTCGAAGCTGCTCTACAGCACGTGCCAAGCTTTCGTTGTATGCAATTTCCGTGTGCAGTAGGCTGACCTTGCTTGCAGCATCCTGTACGCGAGCTGTATTCTCCTTTCCTGCCTCTGCTTGTTTTACAATCTCTTTGGCCGTTTCTTGCGAGCGTTTGATATCGTCTTGCAGCTTGCGTGCCTGTGCTATCCAGCCATCGACGTCGGGTGCTGCTTCTCTCGAGAGTTGGCGTACTTCGTCCTGGAACAACGGTCAGCGTTGCCTGGAGCACGCGCTACTTCAACACACCTTCGTCTCTTCTCTTGCCTTGGCAACTACCTCCAACAGCTTTGGAAGTGCGCTGGAAGGCACAGTTGCGGACGCGACATCCTGGTCCTGAGGAAACGCGCCATGCGCGGCCGACTGGAGCAGCGCGTCGCCTAGCTGCTCGTCCGAGACTTGCGAAGGCATTTGTAATCACGGGGTGATTGTCATGTCGATTCTAAGAAGGGTTTGCGGCGGAATAGTTCACAGGGCGTTCGCAACGTCGCAGGACCAACATTGAAGCTGCACGGACGTCCAAGCGACGTCAACTCCAGCGTTGCTGCCCCGCCACACTTACCCCGCCACGCTCAAGCCCTTGTGCTGAAGAAACAGGCACATGCACACGTGCGTTTGGAGACAACCGCAGGCCGCAGCAGATTCATTAGGCGCAGATTTATCTAGTCAATCCGCGGTAGCAGCATCTTAGCGGCGCCGCAGCACTACTCCCGGACAACTCGCCTCTCATATTGCCCTTCGTCATTCCCTCCTTCCTTGTTCGGAGTGGCTCTCTGCTCCTTGTACTCTATCTCATCCTCTCGTAAGTCTTTGTCATTTTCATTTTACTGCCATCTCACCGCTACCCGGGCTGGTATGTAGGCTTGCAGATTCAGCCGCATAATCACTGGCCGCGGCCTGTAGGCTTGTAGAGCATGGGTATACGCAATACACGCCCCCAAAACCTAAGGCTGCTTTTCTCTTGGAGACCCCGGTCGAATCGGTAGCGTGATTTTCTATATAATAGTGCGTTGGGCTACGTACAACAATCCAGCTAACACAGCAAGGGTAGTACCAATTCGGGCAACGCGGCCAGTGCCTGCGACTTCAGCACCAACAAAGGGTACACCTGCAATCTCACCCTATCAAGTCCTTCCTCCTTCAACTTCGACATCATGGGGTCAATACAGCAGGAGTCGCACTTCAAGAAGCTGCAGCAGTTCAAGGCAAATTACGCCGACGCTACATTCACTCAGTATGAATCCCAGCGGACGGGTCTTCGGGTAGTGGTAGTCGATCGAAAGGGTCCTAAGGTGTACGGAAATTTTGCGGTAGCCACGGAGATCCACGATGATTCGGGTGCACGTGAGTAGCATGGCTCGTGTTTCATTTACTTTTACTGACTGACGTAGCGCATACCCTTGAGCATCTCTGCTTCATGGGTTCGCGGAAATACCCTTTCAAGGGCGTACTAGACAAGATCGCCACCCGATCATACTCTGACACAAACGCATGGACGGATGTCTCCGAGACAGTCTATACTCTCTCAACTGCAGGTTGGGAGGGTTTTGCACAGCTGCTACCTATCTATCTAGACCACCTCATCGTACCTACGCTGACCGACGCCGGTTGTTACACTGAGGTCCATCACATCGATGGCAAGGGAGAGGATGCAGGGTGAGTATCTCTCAACGCGTTCACGCTGCCAGCTAACGACCCAAGTGTTGTCTACTCTGAGATGCAAGGACGTCAAAACCTGCAGGGCGATCTCATGGATCTCCAGATGCGTCGCTTTCTCTACCCTGAAGGCGATGGCTTCCGTATGGAGACGGGTGGCTTGATGGAGAACCTACGAGTGTCCACTGCAGAGCGTATTCGCCAGTTCCACCGAGACATGTATCAGCCTAAGAATCTACGAGTTATATTGATTGGAGAGGTCGATCATCCAAATCTCCTGGACATACTGGATAAGTTCGAAGACGAGATCATCGATCGCGTACCGGCTTACGATGCGCCCTTCAAGCGTCCATGGGTCGAATCGAAGCGCACTCCACCCCTGAGCAAGACCATTGTTGACACAGTCGAGTTCCCAGAAGAAGATGAGTCGACAGGTGAGGTGCAAATCGCCTTCCTAGGACCCGAGACTATCGATGACCTTGGAGAGACTGCCATCAACACACTGCTCAACTACCTTGCCGGGTCATCTGTTTCGGTTCTGGTCAACACACTCGTCGAGAAGGAACACCTTGCGAGTATGGTATACTTCTGGTGCAAGGGGCACACAGACATGATCATCTGGTGGACTCTGTCGTCTGTAGAGACTGACAAGCTGGCTGACGCCGAGAAGCGTTTCTTCGAGGTTCTTAAAGAACACGCTTCCAAGCCACTTGATATGAGCTACCTCAAGGACTGTCTCCATCGCTTCAAGCGCCAAACTCGATACATGTCTGAGATTGGCATGGATGAGTACAAAGACCCAATCATCAAAGATCACGTATTTGGTGACCGGAATGGTACTCATCTCGAAGACGCAATGGCCACTCTTGATGTATTCGACACACTTGACAAATGGACTGAGCAAGAGTGGCGAGCATATCTGAATAAATGGATGGTGGATGCTCACCACGTTTCCATCCTGGGTAAACCTTCGAAGGCATTGTCGGACAAAATCAAAGCGGATGAGGTTGCACGCGTCAAGGCACAACAAGAAAAGCTAGGCGAAGAAGGCCTGAAAAACTTGGCACAGAAGCTCAAGGAAGCCCAAGACGAAAACGACAAGCCTATCCCAGAGGAGATTATCGCCAGTGTTCATGTTCCCAGTACTGAGTCTATCCACTTCTTTGAGACTACAACAGCGCGTTCTGGTGTAGCAAGGAAGCTAGGAACTTCTGAGAACAACATCCAGAAGATTGTCGACAAGGACGAAAACGGTCTTCCCCTCTTCATCCACTTTGAACACATACCAACTTCGTTCGTACACTTCGGCTTAGCACTCGGAACTGCCTCGCTACCAACGGAACTCAAGCCTCTCCTCGGCGTATATCTAACCAACTTCTTCGCGACTCCGATCATGAAGGGCGGAAAGCGTATCGAGTTCGAGGAGGTCATTACCAAGCTTGAGCAGGATACCATTGAGTACTCCATGGACCGCGGTACCGATATTGGAAGCTCTGAGATGATCTACATCCCTTTCATTGCGGAGGCCGACAAATTCGAAACTGTTGTGCTATGGCTGAGGTCAATGCTCGTTGATTCAGTGTTCGATACCGAGCGCGTGATTTCTGCAGTCAAGAAGATGCTCGCGGACGTGCCCGAAGAGAAGCGAGATGGTAATTCCATGAGCTTTGCGGTCGACCGCATGATTCACTACAATGCCGCATCAGCTGTTCGCGCGACTGGTACGCTTGTCAAGGGTCTCTACCTCAAGCGCATCCTGAAGCTACTCAAGACGGAGCCTCAGCAGGTCCTTGATAAACTCGAAGCCCTACGCAAGCACCTCCTGACCTTCTCCAATATGCGCGTTCTCGTTACCGCCAACCTTGAGACCCTACCAAACCCAGTGTCCACCTTTAAGCACCTCACCGACGCCTTCAAGCCCGGCCCAGAGCCAACCGTGAATCCAATCGATGATCGCAACGCGCTCCTCTCAGATATCGGTCGTAATCCAGGCGGTACACACTACATCATCCCCATGCCCATCGACTCCTCCTTCGCAGTCCTCACATCCAAAGGACCCAAAGGCTACACAAACGCCCAACTGCCACCACTCATGGTCGCACTTGCCTATCTCGACGCCGTCGAAGGCCCCATGTGGACATCAATCCGCGGCACAGGTCTCGCCTACGGCAGCAACTTCTTCCGCGACCCCGAAACAGGACTGCTCAAGTTCCGCATCTCCAAATCGCCCAACGTCTTCGCTGCGTACAACAAAGCCAAGACGGTCATCAAGGAGTACGGCGACGGCACGCAGAAGTTTGAGAAGCTGGCGTTGGAAGGCGCGATTTCAAGTATCGTTCGCGACTTTGTTGACGAGCGCGCTACGGTTGTTGATGCGGCTAGGAGTTCCTTTATCGATACTGTCACGCGTGGTGTGGGCAAGGACTGGCAGGCCTGGGCACTGCGTGAGGTGCGCAAGGTGACTGAGGAAGACGTGAGGAACATCTTGAATGAGGTCGTGTCGGGTGTGTTTGTGCCTGAGAAGACGGATCTGGTCGTGACTTGTGGTGGTATCATGACTGACGTATGTTTCCCACCTGTCCTTGGATTCTGTGTTTTGGTAGAATGCTAATCATTCTGTACAGGGCCTCAAGAAGGACTTTGAGGGCGCAGGCTTCAAGATCGAGATGAAGCAGCTCACCGACTTCCAGGATGCATATGGCCTCGAGGGTGAGGAAGATGACGAGGACGATGACGAAGAAGTATCAGGTAGCGACGATGATTCTGAAAGTGGCTCGGAGATGGAGGAGTAGAAACTGGAAAGCTAACCTGAGTTCTACGCTCAGTCCACCTGGTTCGCCACGGACAGTCAACGCCGAAGTAGTAGCAGCAACTGCAATGCAAACACTTCAATCAAGATCCATAAAGTCCCTCTCAAATATTCATATTCATACACTAGCGCAACAACCCCTCTCTCCAAAATAACAAAGCAACAAACATCGTCGCCAAATATAGCCAAACCACACGTCAATCATGCCAGATTGAACCCAAAGACGGCCCCTCAAAAGGTATTGTAAATCATCTCTCTCGTAAATACATACAAGGAAAGTAGGTATAAAAAAGACACCAAAGCTTAGACGCCGGCAATGCCTCTCTCGACCCCAGCAGCCGCAGTCGTAGATGTTGCGTATTCGAAGAAAGCCAGAATGTAGAAAGAGAGAGAGAAGGACTCTCGGCGTTCGAAGGTATCAAGGAGAGAAGGAGGGATTTGGGGGAATCACATACGAAAAAGGAGAAGCCGAACGCGGTAAGGAACACACCCAGATACACACAAACGCCCGTTGGGTCAGGTGACACAATCGCCGAAAACGCCGCCCGCAAAACCCAAAGGTAAGCAAATTCCGATCTTCGTTGTAATCCAACTGCTCTTGAAACTGGCTAGCCAAACTATGCATCTTCGGGTAAAATGCGCGCAAAATGCTTTTCCCAAATCCATCCCACTGTCTTCGTTTGGTCGTCTTGGTTTCGCGCGAGCCATAGCTCACCCTTCATGCCGATTACATCGAATATCTCGCCAGGCACATACACAAGGTATGGTATTCCGCCTTCGCGGCGGTCGTGCGCAATGTTGAACTCGAAGAGACTGGCTGCCAGGAAGAGTACCTCTGGCTCGTCGGTATCGGCGGGTGTAGTGGGAAGGTCTTCGACACTGCCACGAAGAGGCGAATCTGACATCGGTAGCGCAGAGTTGAAGACACCGGATGCGCGTGTGGATCCCGGTAATGATGGTGGCTGAGAGGTGGGCGCGGAGAATGTGTGGGTAATAGGTTGCGAGGGTGAGAGGAAAGACGGGCCTAGTTGCGGTGGGAAGTCGAATGCGTTGATACTCAATGGCGAGTGCTCTATGTCTACTGCTCCGTCGAGACCCATGTAGTTGTGGCTGTTGCGAGAAGGACCGGTGTTGCGTCGCTCTTTGCGCACTATGGTAGAGTCACTGTTGTCAGACACAGGACTGAGTGCGCGTGCTTCCCGTAATGATGTAGGTCCAGGGCCAGCCCGACCTGATCCATTGGGTGGGTAGAGAGAGGGGTACGCTGGCCCTGCCGGGGATGAGCGTGGCGGGTTATCAAGACTCCGCGGATGTGATCGGGGTGCATAACCGCCGCTATTCCGCGTTTTCGAGTCAAGCATTGATGCTTCGCTCCCGATAGATTCAGTGCGCCGCGACGATGAGTTGCGGGACGAGCCGCCGCCGCCGTCGGAAGAGAGTGTTGGAACAGGAGACGTCATGTTGGAAATGTCGACCAGGAGATTCCTGTTGATGATACCCAATCTGTTCGCGAGATCCTGCATCGGCTTGTAGTCCGAGTGGAAGCGTTCAACGTACGATTCGAGGTCGTATCGAAGAGATGTCGTGTGTTGCGGCTCGCTCTCAAGCAGTGGGAGAATCTTCTTCGAGCAAGTCTTGTACCAGTCCTTTTGCAAACACATGAACAGAGTCATAAGCGTGCGCATAAGACCCTTTGTTCTTTCATACAGAAGTGGTAGTTCGTGTTTGAGTGTGTCGTTGATCGTGCTGAACTTTTTGGATGACTCCTCTAGGTCCGGGTCGACCTTTTCGCCACGGTCAAGTGCTTGTTTGTGCTTGACGTAGTATAGCAGGTACTTTTTGCGCTGCTCGATAGTCTTCTGATACGACACCCACATCTCCCAGAGATCGCCGACGGGCTTTAGGACACGGCTTCGAACGGCAGCTTTCTGTGACATGGTTAGCGGTATATAGGCGGCGTGCTGCTCAAATCCTTACGTGATCTTCCAATGCCTTGTTCTGCAGCTCGAAATGAGCCATTGCCCATTTTCGCCATGTGCTTTCAATCTCCGGATACACGGATGGTGCCACCTCGCAGACAGTGATGAAGCCCAAAAACACGATGTTAAGCTGAAGGTAATGCTCGGTGATCGAATCAAGATACTGTTCAAAATCGCGAATAACGATCTGAAGCTGGAAAAAGTGCCCACCGAACTTCTGTTCTTTCGACTTGTAGTCCTGGTCTTTGAAAGTTTTGTCGGCTTCGTCGTACGCTTTACTCTTGTCGACCTTGGGAATGAAAGCCTTGACAAAAGTCTTGCCCAGGCCGCTCTTCTTCTCTTTCTTGCCCTCCGAAGCAGCAGCACGGAAGGTATCAGAACGGGCTTTGGCCTGATTGATGCGCTGACTCATTGCTCTCAATTCTTCGAATGCTTCTTTGATCTTCGGTAGATCGGGATGGTCCGGGTCGGTGATCTCTTGCAAGGACTGAAGGATCAGCGGATACTTCAACAAGCGTTGACACGGCTTCAACAATAGAGAGTCCAGATCCCACGCTTGGGTCATGTTTTCCACTTGCTCGAAGCAAGCAGTAACCCATCCAGATAACGCCTCATTTCCTTGGTTCTTCTTGATGAAAGCACTGGCATTGTCCTGATTCAGGAAATATGTCGTGTAAAGTCTTTCCATCTTCTCCTTGTTGTCCAAGAAGACTTGACCAATGGTGGTCAATCGATCATTCTCCAGAGTGCAGTTCTCAAACTGATTTGGTGAGTCTTCAGATGGTCGCCGAGCATGCATCGGTGATTCTCCAGAATCGTGCGATTTACCATCAGAGGAGTCACGGTTCCAGGGTCCGGTTGGAGGCGGTATCTCATAGTTGACGATGGGCTTTGCAGCCTTCTTGAATGCACGGAACAGCGACAAAGAGAACTTCTCCAGTTCTTTGCAGTTACTGAACAGCAACCTCTTCTCCTTCTCGCTCATCATATTCTGCGCGGTCGCCTCGAAGATGTTGTGTGCGATCATCATATCTATGCAGAATTGATGTTCCGTTGTAAGCAGCTCTTCCAGCGTGCGATATCGCTTTATCAAAGCTTGCCTGGCAGGATCAGGTTGGCCGTCTTCACCTTTCTCGGCTTCACTTGGCAGATCAATAGTACTCTCAATAGGCTGTGGGGTACCGTATCGATCCTCAAGACTCTGTTCTTGAACGTGAAGAACAGGAGTACGTGATCGTGCGGGATGCATTTCGAACTTGTCGTCGTTGAGCATGGGGCGTGAAAGCTGTTGATGTTGTGGCGCAACGTTGTAGGCATTTGGGCGAGAGGAGAGTTGTTGGTCGATGGATGGGTTCACGGGTGGGGGCGGCGGTGAATAGTTGGGACGGGGAGGCGCCGGAAGTGAATGCGGCATACTGTGCTGTAAGTCAAGTCCGAGTCCGCCATTCGTCCAAGCAAGTTGTGGGAGCTCAATGCGGTTGGTTGCGACAGATTTGTGCTCATCTGTTGAGGTTCGTGATAGCGCGTTGTGAGAAGGGTCTCCAGAAGAACTGCCGGAATGAGACGCATCCTCCTGGATGGTCGTGGTGGTGGAGCCTGCTGAATTTTGTGAGTAACGTCGCGAGGACGAAGTATAGATGATTGCCGTCCCGCCGCCATCAACTTCTGGCGATTCCTGGTGCAGCTGTGGTGTGTACGAATCCGGGCGTGACGGGGACGCCACTCTCATGGGCTCGCGCCTCGACTTGTCGTGTTTCGAGCCGTTGGCGTCACTTAACAGTCGAGCGAGATACGTCTCTGTAGACTCTTTCGAGGCCCAATCTTTGTGCTGTGCAATGACGGGCGAGACCTGCTGCACCCTTTCCTTCGATACCGACGCCAACTCTGGGGATATAACCGGCGATTGATGATACATGTTCAAGACTGAGTTTACGACGCTGTACGTCTCCGTGTTCAGCGTCAGCGATCCGAGTGTTCTATAGGGACCAAGACTGGCAGAGTCATCCGGATACAGCGTGTCACGCTTAGGAAGCGAATCTCCTGGCGATCCTTTTGTATCATGGCGAGAGATGGATGGCATATCTCTAGCATCGTGTGTTTGATCAGAACTATACCCATACGATAGAGCCTGAAGGCCTGCGCTGAAGCTTTCGGAGTCGGGCTCCCATGAATGTGACGGCGGCTCCTCGCTGAGCATGATGGGTATTGATTCCCGAACGCCTAGCTCTGACTGCTCCATTTCAGGGGATTGTGGAGCAGGCCGCTGTGGGGGAGGAGCAGTCCTCTGCGGCGGCGGGTGGAAGACGTGCGGTTGCAAGAGCTGGTGGTCCGGCTCCTGGTGTGCGGTCGGCGGCGTGAGAACAAAGCTTCCTGGAAGCCCTAGTACAGGCGATTCGTCGAAGTCGGTCACGGCTGATGCTGGCTGCTCGAGCGGCGGTACCGTGAGGCTGGACGTCTGGAGGCTCAGACGCTGTTGTTCGGGCGAGGGTGACGAGTGCTCGTCGCGCGACATGCGCTGGCCCTGCGTCTGCGCACGGGTCTCATGGGATTGCTCGATCTCAGCAACGCCAGGCAGCCCCGCGAGTTGCTCTTGGGGCGGGTCGAAGCTGCTCGCGAGTGGGAAGTACTCCTGCTCACCATGGGGGCCGGTGCCTGTCGAGTGGGAAGCGGGCGAGGGCTGGAGCGGCTGGCGTTCTCTCGAGTTGCGCAGGCGAGGCGACGTTGGGTGCGGCGGGGCATTGACGACAGCGGACACACTTGGTCCGCTCCTGGCACCCAAGGGCGACTTCCCTCGCTCGCGATATCCACGGTAGGCTAATGCGGGGAGCGTGGACTGGTCTGTGCCCCGGGAGACTGGAGCGACAGCCGCTGCAGCCAGTACCCTGTCCATCCGGGTGGGCGAGGCGCGGTTGCTGTGGTTCATGGCGCGGGTTGGGGTGTACTTGACGGAGCGCGTCGACGAGTTGGAGTCGGAGCCGGCGCTCAAACGCCGTGTCGCTACGGG